TGTACTGTCCCTACTTCCCACCTGAAAAAGACAAACATTTTTGCTGTTCCTCACCAGGCTGCACATTACAAGAACAATTTTTGAAGCAGTCTTTATTGTAGTTAACTTGGCTAAAACTTTAACCACCCTCAAATTAATCTTAATGTAGTTAACTATTAAACATGTTAATTACTTGGCACATCCGATTCCTCACTATTTATCAACTAATTAATTAGCTCAACAATCAAGAAATTTAATCCCAGAGGACAATTTTATAGTTTTGTGGAACAATACAGATTTTACCTAGTTAAAATGCTACACTAAGGACATAAGGCCAGGTTTATCTGAGTAGCTTGGGACAACTACCACAACACAATTCAAGGCAGAAGTTATATAACTGTTACAGTAAACTAGCATACGTTGTATTGGATTGGCTGCTTAACTAGCAGAATTTTTTTTTTTTTTTAAATAGCTCACACAAATCAAAAAAAAAAACTTTTTTTTTGATCCATTAAGTTATCTACTTCATACTTAGCATCTTAAAACATTTTTACATGTATTTTCTGCTTGTCGCAGAGGCAACCAAAACAGGGACATCCAAATTTTTGACAGCACTATCAAACTTTTAAGCCATGTGACACGACTAACCTCAGTCACTGGAGAGAATTAACCATTGCATCCCTGTATGTGGGCAGCAAAAGGAATTCTAGTGGATCTCTATGCCAAGGAATAAATAACAACTTGTAACCTCCGCTGTATTGCAGTCAAACTATCGGAGACCACTCACATGAACGAGGATTTGCTATACACATATATATGAATGAGGGCTATATACTTGGGGAAATGTGTTATTTAGGACAAAAACAGAATCTTCTTAACAAATAGAAGCTAAAAATATTGAGCATCACCTTACATTACAAGGCAGTCCAAACTTTCTTCCAAAAGACTGCCTACCTTATATGCTGAACTAGAGGTCAGGAGGAAGTATTGTGCAGGTTCCTTGGCTAAATGTTTAGTTCAGAAATTCTTACTCAAGAATTAACTACTTCAAGACTAATGAATTTGCCTAAATGAAGAAGATTCATATACTAAATAACTAAAAATTAAGTTATTAAACAATACAAAAAACATATTATGATGGGGGGGGGGGGGGGGGGGGGAAAAAGCCATATGAAAAACACTAAGTTTGACTACCAATTAAGAGGGGGGGGGGGGGGCAGAGATGAAGATACAACACAATTCAACAAAAGTATGCTGTACTTTGAAATTTCAATACCTGAACATGAAGTCAGAATTATAGCTATTACAACAGCACACTCCTCCCTCGGGCAGGTTTTGGAATATGCATCTAGAGAGATTGTCTATACACATAAACAAGATCCCAGAGGTTTTTCCCACATTCCCAGACTCGGGTGAAAAAAAGAAAAGAAATAAGCTTAAAAAACCCAGTAAACACAAATCCTTTTAGCCAAAATTTCCACCAATTTTTCTAGCTAGTTAAAGCTGAAGAAGACCAAAAGGAAACTTTTCAGATAACTGTACAGCTCTATTAGGATGCTATTTAACAATATGATTCAGTTAGTCTAAGGTGCACCTCTACTTTGTATTCTGCCCGATATGTAAAGTTAGAAAGTAATAAGGGCTTTGCCTAAGATTACATTCCAGTGAAAACTGTCAAATAATTGAACAGAGGTCTTCAGGTAGAAACATAAGAAGCTTTCAGAAATGCTATAACACCAACAATCTAACCAAACAACAGAGTAAAAAAGAAAAAAGAAAGACAAAAAGAAAAGCAAATAACCTAGTACCCCAAAACTTCACAAATCAGAGCATAATGAAGACAGAACAAATATGATATTTGTTTTGGTAAGTAAAGAAAACTGTTTATTTGTACTCTAATAAGAAAGATTGTTTATAGCTGTATGAACCAATGTGCTATAGCAAAAATAAATCAGTGTCAGCCATGTTGTGAAAGAAAGTGTAGTAAAAACTTAGTCCTAATCAAGTCTGATACATGGAGCCCCAATCAAATAACTTTATAGCAATCTCCCATATTTATTTTGGGACACTGCTCCCAACTAAACAGCATATCATAATATTTATTATTCCCCCCTAGCATACACATTCAAAGTCCATCAGTCCTAATATTAGGAAGAAAATATACTAAGATTCAATGCAAAACTAACCCCTCTTGTATGGTATATACATCAAGAAGTATGTGGTGAAAATAAATAAAGGTACTTACTCAGCATTAAATCCATTCACATGTAAGATCCTCATCTGTTTGACTATTGTGCTTTTACCGGATTCACCAGCACCTAGAAAATGAAAGTAAATCAGTTTCAGATGGAAACATGAGTGATGCAGCAGCACAGCAGACTTTTCTCTTCAGGGGCAAACCTAAAAAAATGAATTACTCAGCACAAGAGCAAAAAAGTGAAGGAAAAAGAAGTAATTGTCACTGGAAGCTGCAGCTGTAGCTAAAAATAAATGCCCAGCTCAAGTCATGTGTCAGATCCAAATCTTGGATCATTTCACTGTCCATTTTTCCAGTTCAACGTTAAAAGCAGATTGAGGGGCCTGGAGGAACAGAGAGGTATAACTTCAAAATGCTGTGGAGAAGAGGAAAATGAAAGGTCTGAATCTACTTATTTTGTCACCACACACTAGTGAACAGAAAGACCAAAATGGAGTCCCCGTTAGATTACAGTGTTTTTCAATGAAAACCTCAAAATCTTTTCCATTAAATTAAAGTTTCTTTCACACAGTAAAAAACCCCCTTTAATTTACACAAGATATGGAAATTATTACCTGTAAATGGATAGCAGCCCCTTGTTCCTCCACTCAAAGAGCTACATAAAATCCCCCTCCTCCAACCTCAGTCTGCATCCTGTAAGCAAACTCCCCATCCTTTCCACATGCTCCAAACCACTCACACCCCAATGGGTTGCAGAGAAGGCCCTCTCCAGACTGCATTGTCTGAGCAGCATCCCCCCCACCCAGCCTCTTCCTCTGTCTCCACACATGCTCTGAACTGCAGAGAAAGCTCCTTCACTTTTAGCCAGCTTCTTACAAGAAGCCCCGTTCTATCTCTGCCCCACCACTTACACCCCTACCAAAAAACATACCTTCTAGTCTGCACATTGCGCCTGCTCTCTCTGCATATGAAAAGGATTCAGCAACAAAATTCAATTGAACTATCCCCACTCACAGATCAGTGGCTTTCTATGCAAAGCAGACAGACATTTTTTGCAGGAGTTAAACCCTGACCTGGCAAAATATACACGCAGATGCTCTTTCGCATCCTTCGGCTGCTTGTTTTCCCATGCTGTTAGCCTGGGTCTAACCAAGAGAAAGCTTATACACAACTCGACGGGGTGGGTTCACAGAGGCACAGTTTGTTTTTAAGATGCCAGGCCTTCCCCAGCACATACTAACAGCAAGCACAAGCCTCCATTTTGAGCCTCACATTCAAAACTGTATTTTACAGTTTTATTTCAAAGTTCATTTTCTATCTATCACACTAACCTCTGCTCTCTTCTTTCCCTTCCCCCTTCTACATGGATTCCCTCCCCCACAAGACCCTCACAATCCAGTCCTCCTTCCAGACAAGGCTCTCTGGGCATTTTGCTGCCCTAATGCCAAGCCTCACTCCTCTTTTTGTCCCCCTTTTCAATGACTCATGTATACAAGCAGGCTAAGAATAGCTTCTGCCCATCATTTTGCAGGTAGGTGAACATTAAACCTTACTGGGCCATTACAGCAAACACAGATACAAACTACAGCATGCAATTAGGACATGCACCAAAACCAATCAAAAGGACAAATGTTTCCAGGTAAGAGATAGACTGGGTTTTCACAGTTGGAAATAGCCTAGACAGTGCAGTACATGTTGTATGTCCTATGATACTTCAGCAGATTGATTAATAATAAACACATTTCCCCTGCAACTTTATGTTAGACAGATTTCAACATTTCACATCAATTTCTGATCAATGTCTTTTTCTTTGTATTTTTTTCTTGAAAAAAAAATATCATAAAAGTATGTGTGTCACTGACACGACAGAGTCTGAAACTTCTTTTAGTCAAATAAAACATCTAGGGACTTATATAAAGCATTATACATTGGTCTGAGTAAGCCCGTTTCCACAATTTGTTGACCACTATGGGACAATAGGGGTACATTAGGGCCCTGTTCTTGCAAACACTTCTCACGTGTGCTTAAAATATACTACCATGGGTAGACCCACTGATTTCCATGGGTCTGCTAACTGTAGGGGGGGAAAAAGCAAGCACACCCCTCTTCACAGCATTACAGATCCATCCAGCAGAACGTACTGAACTGCACAGTTTTATTCTGAATGCATTTACAACACACTCTAATATTAATTATTTTGTGCTTGCAGCGCTCCTCATTTGCCAACTGCAAGTGCTTTAGAAAGAAGGGTAAGTCTAGCACACCACCACAGACAGCCTTTTTTACGATTAACGTATGTACGTTATGGGTTTCACATAATACATGACAGCTACTGTTTCAAATCACATCTAGGTTGTTCACAGGAAAAATAAATGTGAAGAGACCTTTTTTGATCATCATAAACCGCCTGCAAATTTTCATTTTTATAAGTATCTGAACCATTTTCAGCTACCAAAGCTTAAAAAAAGGCATATCAAAACCAATAGGCTTCTATTTTTGAGATCTGTTACTTATTTAAGCCACCAAACCGATTTTTGAGATTTCCCTTTATGTACAGCATTCAGCCTGAGATACGGGAGACTGGTTTCCCTGAAACTGAAAGCCAAGCTATACTGAAAAGAGGGGTTTTCTCCTGAGAACACTGGCAGACCCTTCAGGGCTGCAGATGCTGCTGTAATTCTCCTAGTAATTTCTCCATTTATGTCAAGCCTCGTCCCTTCTTCAATTTAGCACATGAAACATTTCACTAACAGTAACTTATTAAGTCTGTACCCCTGAAAAATTAATTTCAGATGTCACCAGAACCAATTCAGTTTTACTGAGGCCTAACCTATCCTCCATACTAAAAATCCCTCAATACATTCCCAAGCAATACACTCACATAGGAGCAGAAATTGCCAGGATCTGTTATGCCACATCTTAAAATCTATTTTACCACAATAGGACTGCCTGGGAAACAGTTTCTTGTTTGTTCTTTGTTTTTAACACTGGGCCCTTTCAACACCCATTCAACCTGCATTTCTAAATATATCTGCCAAAAACCAAAGCACATGCAAACAACTGGAATCAGCTGTTAAAATAATCTATCAAGACATACACCCCTTCCCCAACACACTCAATCCTCAGCTTATGCAGCACGAAGAAATAACATGCCAAATGAGACAGAGGACAGCGCATGTGTCCGTGACCCTGTTAGTAACAGCCCATTACCCACCGCAACCCTGACATTACACTACACAGCTTCCCCTCCGCACGCATGGCCCCCACCCCGTAACTGCCCATCTTGTTCCTCTTCAGGATTAACATCCCTGCCACAGTCGCCCAAAATACTTTCCTCCTTCCTCTTCTCCAGCCCAATATCCTCCCCACCCCCACCCCTTCAGAGGCTATTTGCCACTACCTCTCCTCCCTGCCCTGGGGTGTAAGATTCATAGACGTCTGGGTCAGAAGGGACCTCAGCAGATCATCGAGTCTGACCCCCTGCCCAGGGCAGGGAAGAGCACTGGGGTAAAGGAAAGAAAGAGCG